TATCCACGAGATGAATTTTATGAAGATAACGAAGTAGGTATAAAAGAAACAGAAAAAAGTGTTTTTGTTTCTCATACAAGCTATAATTTTGACCTTTATATTCATTAGTGCTTTTCAATATAAAATTAAATCCGTGTGCAAAATTTATTTTTGGCATAAATAGCGGGTTTGCATTTTTATTTTTTTTTTGGTATGGTTGCACGTTGTTTTTGGTCAACACTTAATTTATTCCGTAAACAGTTATCTACGGTTTTATTATTTCCAATTAGTTATATAAAAAAAAACAATTAAAAAAAAATCGTTTTGGGTTCCATCAAGTGGTCCGCATAAACTCAGTTGTTCACAATATTCAGATTAGATTTTTTTATCCTTTACTGACAACTGATGTTGATGGTCAGTAATGATACATTAAAAGTAGGTTATTGAAACTATTCTGAAAAACCCCGATTTGATACTTTCTCCTGAGTCCCATTTGCTAAACATTGATTTTTTTCCATTCATGTTCAGAAGTCAACAATATAGAAAGAGGGTTTTATGGGACACCCGGTATACTAAACCCGCAATGCTTGCGAGTGTAGCGGAAATGTTGATATAGCGCGCCGTTACGCTTGCAAGCATCGTTTCTAGTAATTAAAGAATCTACCTGACAAATTAGTTATTTACATGATAAAAAAACGTAAAAAAAATTGATTTATTAAGTATGTGGTGATTAGTGACCGTTAATCGATAATTATTCAGAAATCGTGAGATGCGATCTGGTGTGATGTAGGTTTCAGAAAAACATTTTCTTTATCGTGCCAACGTTTCGATCTTTATTGAGATCATCTTCAGGGACTGGGATTTATAAACATTGTTTACATTTAAAAAATACATTTAGAATGTGGGAAAGTGAATTTATACAACTTTTCACATCCTAAATATATTTGTTAAATGTAAACAATGTTTGTAAATTGCGTGTATAAATGCACGATAAAGAAAATGTTTTTCCAAAACCTACATCACACCAGACCACATCTCATTCTGAATAATGATTTATTAAGGATGATCGTTTGTTTAACCTGCGTTTTTCGCTGCTGAAGAAGAGTCAATATAAACTTGAAACGTAAGAAGGAAATTGTTATAGTTTTCTTCGTCACCTGACAAATGACTAATTCCAATGAAACTCTATGGTTCATCTGATTATTTAGAAATATGATTTTTATTCCAGCAATTAAAAGCTATTGAACTTTTTTTTACAGTTTACTCGGAGAGGAGACCCCGGGGCCATTTCCTCTTAAGACGCCTTATGGGGTTGTAGGGATGGGTTCTATCGGACAGGGCTTGGGCTAGACTATTTTGATGGTGGGAGAGTTTTTTGTGAAACTTTATAAATTTTTGGGGTATAGATTTTTGGATATAAGGAATTTGAAAGTCGTTGTGGAGGGTAGCATTTGAGACATAATTAGGAGCATTTACAATGGATCTGAGGACTTTAGATTGAAAGGATTGGAGGCGTTGGATATTGGAAGGTTTAGCGGTTCCCCACAGTTCTATTCCGTACGTCCAAATCGGTTGTAGTAGTGTTTTGTAAATTGTAAGTTTGCTTTTTGTCGATAGTTCAGACTGTCGTCCTATAAGTCTGTGCAGTAGACCATACCGTCTGTTTAGGTTTTGTCGTGTCAGTCGTGTATGTTGATTCCACGTTAGTTGTGAGTCTAGGTGGAACCCAAGTTAGCGAACGCAGTCGGATTTGAGGATAGGAACGTTGTTGTAGTATATCGTGAGAGGAGGTTTGCTTCGGAGTGTCAATGTGACATTTTTTTCTTTCGTTTATCTTCATTTTCCATTGTCTACACCAATCTGCTATACATGAGATTTGTTCCTGCAGATCAGAAGCAACCGCAGGATCGGAATTGAAGGATTGTACAGCTGTATCATCGGCGAAGGATGCAAGTAGGGTGGTAGGTTTAGTGGGAATACCTGCATTATAAAGGATTGGTCCGAGCACACTGCCCTGCGGTACTCCCGCGGCCAGAGAGCAGTATTCGGAGAAATCTGATCCTTGTCGGACCCGAAAGAACCGCTCTGTTAGATAAGAGCGGAGGATTAGGTAAAGAGTATTTGGAAGGACACGCTTTAATTTGTACAGGAGTCCCCTGTGCCACACTCGGTCAAACGCTCCCATACAATATTCTTTGCGCTCGAGGGAGGAGGATATACAGTCAACAACGCGAAACACCTGCTGGACTGTGGAATGGTGGGGGCGTAAGTAAAACTGTGGATCGGGGAGGTGGTTAGACTTTAATTATGGCAATAGCCGTTTAAGGAGCTATTAAACTATGTATCAAAATATTATCAATGAAAATTCATAGCTTTTGATTAGTTTATTTAAAAACCCCTGAAGATACTCAGCCTTCTGTCCTTACTTTCAATGATTAATTTCTGAGTTTTCATATTACTTCTTTTGCTAAGAAATTATTTTAAGTATGCGAAAAATGCAGTTTGAGTAAATTTTTCAATGACAGTAATACTTTCCTTTTTTTTGCGTTCTTATTCTTTCAAACGTATCAGAATGAACAGGTCTTGTGGCCAAGATGAGGTTTTCTTTTTGTAACAAAAGTATGTCAACCTGCTAGATCCCTAATGACCTCATTAAATCTTTGATCAAAGCGCCACCGTAATTAATAGAAAGGCCTTTCGTCCAGACGCAACTGTACAATTCGACATAAGGGAAATTCAAAAGGATTCCTTTAATCACCTAAATGAACCCAACCCTAGTTGCTTCTCTTTGGAAAAAGACATTTATCGAGTAATTGTGCCTCGCGGGTGCCCTCCATAAAATCTGCAGGCGAAATGGTTTAATTTCTCTCCGTAGTGTTATACAGATATATCGTAATAATTTGCAAAATTAGAATTTTTTTGTTTTTTCGACGTAATTTAATAAAGTTAAAATAGTGGATTTGGAAGATAATTTTTTTATTGCTCTAAACAGTTCTTGGCAACACGTTGTTTGCCCAAAAACCACCGAGGTAAATCAAAAAAATTATAACATATTAAATCGAATATTTTTAATAAACACTAAAAAAGCAAATAAAACTGAGAAAATGGAACTCAATATTATCAAGAATTAATTACGGTTTTTCATCTCAACTAAAAACCTTAATTAATTGTCATGTATTAATTGGTCAAGCGGACCACGAATGTAGTGAATTAATTATCAAGACTTCTTAAATTGTTAAGTTAGCTCTATGACTGCTTATTTATATAATTAAATCTTTATTATGTTTTATATTTTTCTATCAATAAACGATATCCTGGAATGTGAAGTCAAATGGGGCTTAGGAAGTCTAAGCAACAACAAAGCTAGTGGAGGTGACAGTATTCCAGCTGAACTATTCAAAATCTTAAAAGACGATGTAGTAAAAGTGCTACACTCAATATGCCAGCAAATTTGGAAAACGCAGCAGTGGCCACAGGATTGGAAAAGGTCAGTTTACATTCCAATTCCAAAGAAGGGCAATGCCAAAGAATGTTCAAACTACCGCACCATTGCACTTATCTCACATGCTAGCAAAGTTATGCTGAAAATCCTACAAGCTAGGCTCCAACAGTATGTAGACCGAGAACTGCCAGAAGTGCAGGCAGGATTTCGAAGAGGCAGAGGAACCAGAGATCAAATTGCCAACATACGCTGGATCGTGGAAAAAGCTAGGGAGTTCCAGAAAAACATCTACTTCTGCTTCATTGACTATGCTAAAGCCTTTGACTGTGTGGACCATAACAAATTGTGGCAAGTTCTTAAAGAGATGGGAATATCATCTTATTTGTCTCCTGAGAAACCTATATGCCGATCAGGAAGCGACAGTGAGAACTGGACATGGAATCACTGACTGGTTCAAAATCGAGAAGGGAGTTCGACAAGGCTGCATACTGTCTCCTTGCCTATTTAACTTATACGCAGAGCACATCATGAGAAAGGCAGGACTGGATGAGTCAGAAACTGGAATTAAGATTGCAGGGAGAAATATCAACAACCTTAGATATGCAGATGATACCACTCTAGTGGCGGAAAGTGAAGAGGAACTAAAGAGCCTCTTGATGCGGGTGAAGGAGGAGAGTGCAAAAGTTGGCTTGAAGCTGAACATTAAGAAAACTAAGATCATGGCATCTGGCCCTCTCAATTCCTGGCAAATAGATGGGGAAGAAATGGAAGTAGTGACAGACTTTATTTTCTTGGGCTCCAAGATCACCGCAGATGGGGACTGCAGCCAAGAAATTAAAAGACGCTTGCTCCTGGGGAGGAAAGCTATGACAAATCTAGACAGCATACTCAAAAGCAGAGACATCACCCTGCCAACAAAAGTGCGTATAGTCAAGGCGATGGTTTTCCCAGTTGCAATGTATGGCTGTGAAAGCTGGACTATTAGAAAGGCTGAACGCCAAAGAATTGAAGCCTTTGAACTCTGGTGCTGGAGAAGACTTCTGCGAGTCCCTTGGACTGCAAGGCGATCAAACCGGTCAATCCTGGAGGAGATCAACCCTGACTGCTCTCTAGAAGGCCAAATCCTGAAAATGAAACTTAAATACTTTGGCCACCAAATGAGAAGAAATGATTCACTGGAGAAGAGCCTAATGCTGGGTAAGATCGAGGGCAAAAGAAGAAGGGGGCGACAGAGAATGAGGTGGATGGACGGAGTCGCTGAAGCAGTCGGTGTGAGCTTAAACGGACTCCGGAAGATGGTGGAGAACAGGAAGGCCTGGAGGAGCATTGTACATGGGGTCGCGAGATGGGTCGGACACGACTTCGCAACTAACAACAACAACAACAATCAATAAACGCTATTTTGCATAAACTATTAGATTAATAAAGTAACAAAATTTGCTTTTACAAAAAAAATATGATTAATGGCAGAATCGATTTAAAAACTTCGATTGATTGTATCCTACAGATTTTTTATGATTTCAATTATACTCATATTTTCAATTTCATTAAATTTGGATTTGTCTGTTTTGTGTTTTAGTTATTACGCTAGCGGAGCTGCGTTTGCGAGTTCGAGGAGCATCGTAGTACCGCCTCTGAAAAGACCTAGGCTTCATGTTTCTTCCAGTCCTGGAGGTGGGACCAGATCTCAGTCACAGTCAAGCCTTAACAGCGCCACCAACGGAAATCTACATCAAAAACATCAGAAGGAGAAAACTTCAAGCCCCCCTCCGCAAGTCAAAACATACAGTGAGTACAAAAATAAAACATTGGCTTGGGCAAAATTTTATTAATTTTTTTTTAAATTTAGTTTAACTTGTTAACAGTTTGGTTGTTGAATCTTGGGATATATTTTAATTTTTGGTTTCTTGAAATTCAGCTGAGGTTAATTGATGTTAGCTCTGAAAGGTTTTATTTCGTTGAAATATACAAAATGTGCAATAGTTTTATACGTAAATGTGGACTTTTACCCGGAAGGGTTGTCTCTTCGCCATGAGTTGACCCTAGGGCCATCCCTCAGGGGAGTTCACCTACCCCGTGATTTATTTATCCGTCGAATTAGTCCAGTATAGGACAGTCAATTATATAATTCATATTTGACACTAAATTATTCAGATTTGGGTTGAGATGCGGTCTGGTGTGATGTAGGTTTCAGAAAAACTTTTCCTTATAGTGCCAACGTTTCGATCTTTATTGAGATCATCTTCAGTGATCTTTTAGTAGAAATATTTTGATTCAATATAAATATATATTTTTTTGCATGGTATAAATTCACTTTTTTCCACATCCTACATGTATTTGTTAAATTTAACAAATGTTAGTAAATCCCAGGCGCTGAAGATGATCTCAATAAAGATCGAAACGTTGGCACGATAAAGAAAATGTTTTTTCTGAAACCACATCACACCAGACCGCATCTCACGATTTCTGAATAATTACTGTATATATTGTTGTGCACATGTACAAATAAAAATTTATCTATTCTATGCTCCTGGGTCACTAGTATCCCGCGTAAACCAGATGTCCAGGAGACGGTCTATTCCTCTATCAACATGCAATATTAATAGTCTAATCTAAATTGGATGGGGTATTTTTATAAATATTCTACCCCCGATCTTAAACACCATAAGCCCCTCACCACTCAGGCTAATAAATACACGCACTAAAAAAACACAAAAAATTGATCTATGCTATGATTTATATACAATAAAATAAACCACGCCCCCCCCCAAAAAAAGGAACTGTGCCCGGTAACAATTCTTAAATTCGGCGACATGCCTACACGCTCTTTGTGAGGAGCCAGGGAATGACATTCTATTATGTGGGACGCATCGAACAACCTTTCTCTGCATAAAGGCCACTTTTGCGGCTTTGGTCCAGGAGCTGACCTAATTTACTGTGACATTTCTCCACGGTGTACGATGGACTTGATTAACCTTTTTAGTAACTTAGTAGTAATTTCGTTTTTACTCCTAATTATCCTAGTTGACATATCATTTATAACTAGAGGCAATTTTTTCAGATTTGAAAAATAGTCAAATCTAATTTTAGCTAACGTTTCCGATGAGTTGTACAGAAAAAAGAAAGTTGTTTTCTTATATTTCGACCTCAACTGTCAAACTTACGATTTTTCCTTCTTGAAGGTGGATAATAATGCTATTTTAATTTGTTAAACAATATATAAAAATAATCTAGTCAATTTTAAACTCTGGAGGAGACTTAAAATCTGTGATAATAATTGTTAAAATATTGTTAATAAAATAAATAAAATTTGTTGTTTAAAAGTAGATTTTTAAGAAAAATGTAATTTAACTGTTGAGTGGTTTTTTTTATGTTAATTCGTTGGTCTGTGATAAGATGTTGATAAGAGGTTGAACGTCACAGGAGAGATGTGTGGTAATTAGTGACCGTTAATCGATATTTATTTAGAAATCGTGAGATGCGGTCTGGTGTGATGTAGGTTTCAGAAAAACATTTTCTTTATCGTGCCGACGTTTCGATCTTTATTGAGATCATCTTCAGGGCTCAAAGTGTTTGTCTTCTGTGTAATTGTGCCATTCTTGCATGTGGGCACTCTCAACACGACACGCAAGAATGGGATAATTACACAGAAGACAAACACTTTGAGCTTTGAAGATGATCTCAATAAAGGTCGAAACGTTAGCACGATAAAGAAAATGTTTTTCCGAAACCTACATCACACCTGACCGCACCTCACGATTTCTGAATAAATGTCACATAAGAGGTTGTGATAAGAGTCTAGTCAGGTTCAAAATATTAAAACGTTTTTTCGTAGTCTGAATAACTACTTAATAACCACACTGGCTCTTTTTTTTTTAAATAAACTGTTATAAAATATTAATGACTGACGACCACTTTTTTAACCATTGTAAGTAGTGAAGAAACGATAACCATGATGATATAAAAATGTAAAAAATATTTGTTCTGTGTACAGGCGTTAACTCACCTGAGGAAGGTTGTGAATAAACATGTGAAACATTGTGGATAAAAACTGGATATGTTTTTTTTTCATGTTTTTTTTGAGATGACCTATTATCCCACCTTCAAAAAGGAAAAATCATAAGAAAAAGAAAGTGTTTAAATATTTAATACATAAATTTCAAAACAAGAGTTATAATAATGGTATTTGGTGGTTTTACAACTAAATTTTAATATGGAGGTGGATGAAAGGACTTGTTTAACAGTATGTACAGTGAAAGTTGCCGGAGAAAGTTACACGAACTGGGCCAAATCTTGTTTTTCCGTATGAGCCCGACTTCAATTTTATGGTGGAAGCATCAGCAGATGAAACAGCTATTCAAAGTGGAAAGTTCCCCCATTTTTTTAAGAGATGCACTGTCAATTTTTATGTAGATTAAACGGTGATAGTCCATTCTATTTTCCTTGGCCCTTTATCCTTTTAAGGCCCACTTATGGGGACCGCGGTAGCCGAGTGGTTAGCATGAGAGACTCTCACGCCGCGGTCGTGGGTTCGATTCCCACCGTCGCCTCTGGCCCTTTTTTCACAATAACCCTCCCCCCCAAATTTGAACACACATATACGAATTGTCACATGGCTAATAGGCATAGTTCATACGCCAAAAAAAAACCACTTATCACCAAGGGACTCGAATTTCCTGTCGATCCTGTCGAAAGGGTTTTTATAAAAAGAAAAGCGAATTTGAAAAATCATGAGCTGTTTTTAATAACATATCATAATTAATGAAATATACACGTTATAATTTATAGAGACAAAACCCTGAGAAAATTTGATTCCCCAAACATAAATTGAAATATTTATTTAGAAATCGTGAGATGCGGTCTGGTGTGATGTAGGTTTCAGAAAAACATTTTCTTTATCGTACCGACGTTTCGATCTTTATTGAGATCATCTTCAGGGCTCAAAGTGTTTGTCTTCTGTGTAATTATCCCATTCTTGCGTGTCGTGTTGAGAGTGCCCACATTCAAGAATAGCACAATTACACAGAAGACAAACACTTTGAGCCCTGAAGATGATCTCAATAAAGATCGAAACGTCGGCACGATAAAGAAAATGTTTTTCTGAAACCTACATCACACCAGACCGCATCTCACGATTTCTAAATAAATATCGATTAACGATCACTAATCACCAAACATAAATTGAAATAATAAACAATATAGGTTAATTTTTAAAAGTAAGAAAATACATTAGAATTTATTTTTTAGGCAATCCTGATATTCTTATCTGCGGCAATTGTAGGGAAATGTTCTCAGAACTTGCCGAGCTGTTAGAACATAAAAAGGAATTCTGTAAGCTGAGATTCACCTGCAAATGTAGCACTCTAAACGGATCCTTGAAAGGTAAATATTTAAAATAATTCACTAGTTTTTGTGGTCCGCTTGACCAATTGATATCTTTCAATTAATTAAGGTTGTTAGTTGAGATAAACAAGATAAAAAATGGCAAAAAGGAGGGGAAAATTCGAAAGGTGGGGCTGAGCTGAGAAGTTAGTGTCCGAGTCGATCTAAGTTTTGGGGTCGTGGGTTCGAATCCCGTTCTTGACACTGACTTTTTTATCTCAACTAAAAACCTTAATTAATTGAAAGATTTAAAATAATCACTACTCTTTCAATAAGCATACAATGTTAAGAACGACATTCATAAAAGTTCGTTTTAAGCTAACAAATGGTTAGCATAATTAAATGGTTTGGTTATGTTGCAGATGTTGAAGAAGGAGTGGCTCTAACATGCGTGCAGTGCAAAGAAAGGTACGAATCTGCTTGGGACCTCATGGTACACGTTCAGGCAGCACACATGCTCAACATTTACGAGCTGTCGGCTAAGAACAACGTCGAGGACAGGTTAACTCCACCACCAAATGGTGACATTCAGAAGAACGGCCAGACTAAGGTCAGCGTAAGTTATTACTGTCATCTCGGTGCAAAAAAAATTAGCATAAATAAATGAAGGAGTCGAGTCCAAATCAAACAGAAAATCATAATAAAAAAAGTTCAAAATAGTTATTTGAAGTGTAAGATGTATCGAATCCTTTTTTACTCACGAATAATCTGGGTTGTCAAGAAGGTAAGAAAAATTTAATTGTTATCGATCAGGTTTACGCTATTTTCAGGTCATCATTAGGGCAAAACAATCTCAGAAATTTCTAAAAATTGACATAATTAAGTTTTTAATTACTAGTTTCAAATTTCATTGAACATGACTCTTTGTCAGTAATAATACTGCCAAGGTACATAACACTAAAACACATAAACTAACGTGCAGTACAAAAGCAATTGGAGTAAATTATCTATGCTACATTTTTTATGAAATAGAAGATTTTCGACCCATTAAAAAAACTTTTCTTTTTTTTTTAAAGAAGTACATACAAAGAGTTATAGAGGATTCCATCATTTTTTGTTAATTTTGTCGAAAATGCCATAGCTCTTATATCCACCTTATGGATTTCTCTTCATGGATGGTCAATTTTTGCCCATAGGATGATGTTGATTAGCCCACCCACCGAGGCATTCCGCGGATCTAAGTCGGTCGGAGGTGGCGCAGACTCCGCCCTTGGGCGTGGCCCCGCGAGATTTCTCGGCTGTTGTTTACCACAGTGGAAGTGACATAACCATAAATTATCGCCTTTATCGTATTCGATTCAGAAGACGTTCAGAAAATGTTATGCTTAATCAAATCCAAAGTATGTAAACTTGTGTAATTATTGCACAATTTGTAAGTGTATGCCAGTTAGGTATGAATTTACAGGGTGATTCAGAATTAATTTGGCAAATTTTAAGAGTGGTTTGTACACCCAAAACACAACAAAAAGGTATCTCTTTATCCCTGTCTGATTTTCAATAATAGTTGTTCTGGATTTTCTCCATAAAAACAACCTAGACCCTAGATCATACAACAAATTTTTCTATTACGAAAAATTAAATTTCTATTAAAAAATCAAACCTTACAATGTACCTTGTTTCATTTTATTCGAAACAGAAATAATGGCACAACTTAGGAAAATTTCTATTTTATTGCACGAATATTGTATTTAGTTGACAGTAGGCAAATTTCGGTTTAAAAAAAAAAATACTTTGTCAATATTAAAATTTCCAGCGGTTTACTCAAGTATACGATTTCGATTTAAATTTTGGATGAAAATTACGCAAGACTAAGAAAAAACGCACCTTATCGGCCGAAAGGTGGCCAAGAGTTTAAAGAAACTATCAATCCATAGGCATTCTCTAAAAATTAATTATTTATGTCTAATTAATATGTGGATAAATTAAACCAGTTTTAAAGAAAAGAAGAATACGACTAGCACGAACAAAATAATATTTAGTTATTATACATGAGTATTTTATTGCAAAAATTTTTTCAAAACGTAGGTCCAAGGATCCAGATATGTCAATTTTTATTTCAAAATTTGACAAACTCAAGTTTAACAGGAAAAAAAAAATCAGAAATATCACCCTTATTACTGAGAATCAGACATGGGTCAAGAAAAACATTTTTACTTTTGCTTCACCACTTTATCTGTTTATACATAAACTTCCTAGTCTGGTTTTCTCAAAAACTTGGCCTAGTAAAAAAATTAAACAATTTTCGTACAAAATAAGTTTAAAAAAATCTTCTTTTTTTCAAATTGAAACCAATATTTTTCCTTGCAGATTCATCAAGTCCATTAAATTTTAACAGAATTATCGAAAACCATTTGAAAATCTGTTTAATAGTAACGTACATTTTCACTTGCAATTAATTTTAAATAAAACAAATATTTGTTTACCTTTACCTATAACGCAAGGTCAAAAACAATTTTATTTATATTTTAGATGCTTAACGTAAAATTTAGATAAATGATTAAAAAAAATTATTTAACTTTGTTTACAGTATTACAATTAATTAAGGTTTTTAGTTGAGATAAAAAAGTGAATGGCACGAGCGGGATTCGAACCCACGATCTTCGGCGAGATACGCCGCTGCTCTACCACTTGAGCTATCGTGACCTCGATCCACTCGGACACTAACTTCCCAGCTCAGCGCCACCTTTCGAATTTTCCCCTCCTTTTTGCCATTTTTTTATCTTTTTTATCTCAACTAAAAACCTTAATTAATTGAAAGATGTTACTTGGTCAAGCGGACCACGAAATTAGTGAATTTAATGAATTAAAATGAAGTATACTTCAAAAAAGCTCCCCGTGGCCATTTCATTTGTCGTCGAGAATCCAATCGGATTAGACGACATTTGAAAAATGGCAAAAACGAGGGAAAATACAAAAGGTGGGGTTGTGATGAGAAGTTAGTGTCCGAGTGGATCGAGGTCACGATAGCTCAAGTGGTAGAGCAGTGGCGTATCAAGCCGAAGATCGTGGGTTCGAATCCCGCTCGTGCCATTGACTTTTTTATCTCAACTAAAAACCTTAATTAATTGTATATATTAATTGGTCAAGCGGACCACGAAATTAGTGAATCTGTTTACAGTAACATTTCAGAGTTTTTGGCTTTCAGTTGCCACGCGATAAATACATTCTTCGTCGACTCGTTTGAAAAACTCCGCGTTAGAAGCATAATTTTCAATAATTATTTTTTTAAACAATCCCTCTCAACCCCTTCCCCCCCAAAAAAAGGTCAACTGAGCTTTGTAATTTTTCCAGGCGTCGGTATCCTCTTTCCGAAGTGGCAGTACCGTCTGCGAGATGATTTGCTGTAACATAAAACAAATTTCGATGTTGTTTCATGGCAGAGAGTAGGCAGGTTTCAGTTTTTTTCTTTTTTCAATGTGGTTTTTAAACTAAAAATTTTATCTGTATATTAATTATATTTATTTATTATTATTCAGAAATCGTAAGGTGCGGTCAGGTGTGATGTAGGTTTCAGAAAAACATTTTCTTTATCGTGCCAACGTTTCGATCTTTATTGAGATCATCTTCAGGGCTCAAAGTGTTTGTCTCCTCTGTAACTGTGCCATTCTTGCGTGTCGTGTAGAGAGTGCCCACACGATACGCAAGAATGGCACAATTACACAGAAGACAAACACTTTGAGCCCTGAAGATGATATCAATAAAGACCGAAACGTTGGCACGATAAAGAAAATGTTTTTCTGAAACCTACATCACACCTGACCGCACCTCACGATTTCTGAATAATTATAGACTAACGGTCACTAATCACCACACATTTAGTTATTATATATTATTTTAATGTTTTTCATTAAACGAGATCAAAAATTCATAAATTTTAATGAAAATTATTTAATTACGATGGTTTGAAAGGAAAGTCGCCAAACCACAGGAAAAACAGTCGTTCTTTCTATGCTCTTGGTTGAGATAAAAAAGTCAGTGTCACGAACGCACATGAAGGTCGTGGGTTCGAATCTCACTCGTGACACTGACTTTTTATCTTAACCAAGACCATAGAAAGAATGATTAATTGAAAGTAGTAACTTCGTCAATAACATGGATTAATACAACAAAATATTGCGTATTTCATGGCCTAGTACTACAAAAAATATTTACCTACTATAAACATACCGACAATTTAAAAAATTCGACAGATCTCATTTGTAAAAACTGTACTTTCATTAGTGATGTATAATTCTCCAAATATTGCCTCTTCTGCCAAAGACACTCTTTGACATTTATAACGTTAAAAGTTAATGTTTTATTAGTTTGAAAGTCCCAAACTTTACCGCTTCCCATCGACAAACATTTGCTGAGTTATTATGCACTGATCTCTATCCTGGCTTAGTTACACACTAACAAGAATGAGGTTGTTCTCTGTAAAAAAAAGTTTTATATTTCAGTTTATTTTTCTTACTGGAAAAAGCTAGATTTGGTCTGAAGATAACGGAGACATTTGTATCTTCATAACTTAGGCAAATATTTTTAACTTTTGCTAGTAATTCTACTACCATATCACACATCTATATCACCTAAGTATCGATAAATTTTTAATTTCTCTCAGCTAAACAAAATTTTGCTGAATTCTTCAAAAGTCGCATTGAGAATACCAACAAGAAATAATACTTAAACATGATAAAAAACGACAAATTTGGTTGTTTGATTTTTAGCAATTCTTTGTTGTTTTCTCTGAGTTTCTTTTTCTGGAAGGCCAAGGACTCAAGTTCTTATGTTAAAGTCAATATTTTCTTAGACCTAATGATCTCTAAAATTTCATTCATGTCACCCAATTACTAGAATCATCGGAATGGCTATTTGGCCGGCCCCACCCTCCTTTACCTCTTCCTAATGGAAATTACTCTATCGCTGCAGGCTAATGGATTGGTTCCGTCCAGACATCTGATACAGTCATGATATCCGCGGCACATTGTCTTTCAACATTACACAACTTCTTAGTTAATTAAAATCAGCTAATTATTGGGTTGTCCGGAAAATAATGCAGGATTTTAAGTTTTCATTAAAAAAAATCTATATAAAATATTCTGTTTACGNGAGAGTATGGGAAATTATTTTGATTAAAGAACATTGCTTTAAAGTAACTAGTTTCTTTTTTTTTGTTTAATACCAAAATCCTGCATTATTTTCCGGACAACCCAATACTTTGAAAATCCACGTATCTAATAAGCGCGGCTCTTAAAGGGACTACACGATAATCTGAGTCGGATTAGATGCATCCTAGTGGTAGAAATAATCCCACTTCCACCACATAAAAAATGAAAGATCTACATGTATACAGAATAGTCATCAAAGAAGCAAAATACAAAAAAAAAGTCAGAAGTAAAAGATGTCTTTTGTTTATATGATTTCCAACAAGTGGGTTCATCAATTTTAAAAATATATGAAAACAAAATGAAGGTTTAATAAATTATATAAGATTATCCGCTACACTACGACAAAGTTCGTCAGGTGCTTCTATATCTCAAATGCAACAAAAAAGTACGTATGAACTATGATCTGATT